GCCGATATGGTCATCTGCTTCTGCTTCTTGGGCATGTTCAATAGTTAACTGTGGCCTTAATACTTAATTGAGTGTATGGTTTTGTATTTTTTATGCTTTCTGATTGCCTCCAGGTAGATGTGATCGGGAAACGGGCTTCCCTTTTCACTCTTCTTAATACTCAACTCAGAGTGACTGTCACAGTTGTTGTCTGCCTACCTTGTGTATGGCAGCTGATATTGGTTCTTGCCTGGATTATAGGGTTTTATAGGGTGTAATTGTAGCTTGACTATATGACAACAATTGCTGTCGTATCTTCTTGGGTAATATAGGGAGTGAAAGAGCCAACTAAAGAGGGGACCAAAAACAAAACAGCAACAGTAAAAAAACAAAACAAAACAGATTGGATACTGTACTCTTGAATCACAAAAAAGAGAGAAGAGAAAAATAAAAATAAAAATCTGTAGCCTAACAAGAGTATGACTTTAATATCCTCTTTCAGCTTCTTGCCTTCAAGGCAACCTGAGAAATTTCAAGATGCCACTGTTAGTTATTATGATGTAACTCAGTATTTAATTTTCTGCCTGTTTTGTTTTTAGATTTTCTCTTCCACTCCACAACCCTGTTCTGGACTTTTTCCTAGTGATAAACAGTTCAGGGCTGGCTGTGGCCGTTTCACGCTATCATTTGGTTTTATGTGGGATCAGTCCCTTTAAATGCTGAGAGGATCTGTGTGTATGCATAGTAGAGCCCTCCGAGGTGCGGGTTGTCCACTCGCTTAGGCAACACCTCTAGTCACCAGAAAGGAGGTGTGCAGACAGCAAGAGGCCAATGAACAAATTTTTTAAAAAAGGAATGTCTACACCTTTATGACCAAGGTTCTGTCAGGCATCAATCCGTGGCGGCTCTGATCCTTCCCCCACTTGGTCCCGCTGCTTGGTCTTGCCCAAAATGGTGGCTCCTGGCTGCTGAGCCCAGTGGGTTCGAAAGTACAAGATTTCTTGCTTCTGCTACAAATTCCACTGGCTATAAGCCTTCAAACTTTGAAAATATTCCTATATATGTGGTTCTGAGTTTTGGAACTGTTCCCTGAACCTGCTTTATTCAGTATTCTGCATTATTGCTGATGGAGATCCTCCATGCACTTCTACCCAATCCTCCAGCAAGCTCCGCCCCACTCCAATCCACAGGATTTTGAAAACTATAAATCTTTATGGGAACAGAAAGCCTTATCTTTCATCTATGGAGCAGCTTGAGATGTCAGTCTTGCAGTTGGCAGTCCAGTGCTTAAAACACTACACCACCAGAGTTGCTAATTCTCACAAGAATCTTGCTAATAATTACCCAACAATGAAAAAAACAAGATATAAAGATGTGAATAGCTTACACAGTTAATAAACTGTGGATATGGATTTGAATCCAAAATTTAATCTCTTCTCAATATTACACGTTGCCTGTCTTGGAATTATCCTCACTTTCTTTATCACCTCCCCATTTAAGACAGAGTCATTCTTGTCCTCAATGTCAACTTCACCAGAGTCTACCATCTTTAAAAGAGCCGGGTCTACCCTCATTTTCTATTAAACACACACTGACAAATCACAAATCTGATTATAAAATGTACCTTCTTTAAAAGCTCATCTCTGCTTACAATATAAAGGCCAAATACCTTAGCAAGCAGGGCCTACCATGCTTTTCAGAGTCTGACTCTAATCTATTTTTCCTGTCTCATCTCTCAGTACTCTTTCTATGTAATGTTCCATTCAAGGAAAGGCCTGATCCTACCCTCTTATGCTTAGTAAAATCCTCACTTCCTCAGCCCACATTGCTGGGAGCTTTCCAGCTTCTGACTTTAATCCTTTGTAGACCACAGTTGCCCTTCAGGCTGTGTTTTTTTGGAGATAACCTTTGCATCCTTACCATTTACTCTTCTCCATACCCATTCCCCATGATCCTTTGTTAGTGCTGTCATTATTAAATAATCTAGAATGAATTTATATGTTGCTACCAAAAATCTTTGGTTAAGATGTAACTTAAAAGTTTCTTTTCTGATACCTTCTTTTACTTCCTCAGTCACAGCTAACTATTCCCATCCCCATGCCTTCAGCCCTGTATTTATGTCCATGAAGGGCTGGCTAGCTCTCATGCTCATGATATTGTTTCCTTACATGTTACTTTCCCTCTCAGTCTAGACTGTACCCCTGGCACCTCACCTGAGCATCGTACTGGGGCATAGTTTATAGTATGTCCAGTATATGTTCCATAAATATTTGTCTAATTAATCAATGAAAGAATTATTCTCTGGTAAAATATGCAGCACATAGTAGAGGGACATTGGATTTCCTTAGAAATGATGAGGTTTACTACTTTTAAAATAATTATACAAATAATTAGCTTTTCTCCTTAGACTTATAAAATTAACAATTATTTTCTCCCTTAATTTCAGTGATATCCATTCATTCTTCTGGCATTCCTCCTCCCTCATTTTCATCCAAAGGAAATTTTTAGTCCCTTATCAATTCTAGCACAGAATACAATGAACCAAAATTCCTAGAAATGGTTAAATAATCTCTTAACATTTTTTTCCACAGAAATGTTTTATTTGATCATGAAATCTGATACTTTATCCTCTGTTCATTTTAATTTCTGAAAAGTTTCCTCTGCTTCATTCTAAATTCTTTAATATGGCTTATAATGAATTTAAATATAATTTCCTTAATAAAACAGAAAAAATATTTAATAACAAAATGTAAAACTAACAGAATACTGCTAAATTTAAAAAATAATTCTCAATGACAGATTTCATAACATTTTCAGGAAAGCTGTTTTAGTCCATGGTCATCTATCAGCAATTTTACTAATAAGAACTAAATAGTAATTATGTGCTATCCTTTAAAAGCAAGAATTCTGGTAATGTTTGTGATATTCAAATGTAAATATAAAATCATTTATAACCCAACACACACACTTCTACAATTCTCACTGTCACCATCATGGGGTTTGCATAAATAATGCTAATTTCCATAATTACCTGCTGTTCATTGTATGTATTCAATGTGAAGAGTGGCTTTTGAAGAACAAATTCTTCTTCAGTTCCAAATCCCATCCTAGCTTTCCATGCCATTGTATCTGACATCATTCTAACAGGATCAAATTGAGCCACAATAGCAACCTGAAAGAAGACAAAGCATAGCTTTGGAACAAGGCACAAGTTAAATACTTCTGGTCAATAATGTTTAATAAGTTTCAATGTACATTAAAGTTGAGAAATTTTATTAAAAATAAAACCTAAGGGGAGGGCAGAGAGAATATAGGCATGTCCAATAGATCCACAAAGGAGTTAATGGTTTAAAAATAAAACAAAATAAATCATTAAAAGTCCATAGCATATAATTATTTGCTAATGACAGAATAATCAAAATTATGATTCATTTTAGATAAAAATTTATCTTTCGGATAAAAAGACATAGGGAAACTTACATAAAAACCTACATATTCAATCACCTTGAAAGCAACCCAAAGTAAAATAATAACACTTTTTTAATCATTAAGAATTTATGGCTATAGTAACAATCCCATGAAGCTTGCCAGATGTCTAATCTGATCCAGTTAACTCTAGAGCATACTATTCATAGGCCAAGTTGAATATGTTGACATTTATTGGGCAATATGGGTGAGTTTCCTTTGCACAAGACAACTAGATTTCCAGGGGTTGTTATATACTATTATTCTCCCTCTACTGAAAAATTATAGTGCAATTTTAACCTAAATGTCCTTGTCCTTTATGATTATTCAAACCTGCACCCTAATGAAAGGAAATCACTAATTTTGTACATTGTATGCACCATTAGTAACACTTGCCTGATAATTCCTGAAGTCAAGAATTAGCATTAAGAAAATGACATTTTTAATGTTATAATGGAGCTGAACATACCTTAATTATTGTACATTTTCAGGCCCAAATCTTTTATGCTATATTTCTAAACACTGATAGAGATAATGGGGACAGATATTTTCTTTTGCAATGAGTTCACAGAGGAAAGGAATTCTAATCCTGTTATCAAAATTTTATTTTAAACAAGATTGTACTAATAGTGGCATTAAGTTTTTACCTCAGAAAGCCAGTACATTAACTATTTTCTAATAATTGAATAATTTCAATTTGTTGTATGTAGGATGATCAAAGGAGCCCTGGTAGAATAGTAGATTACAAGCTGGGCTGCTAACTGCAAGGTCAGCAGTTCTAATCTACCATTTACTCCATGAGAGAAAAATGAGGCTTTTAAGCAGATTGCATGAACTAAACCCTAATATTAAAGGAGCTCTAGTAGCGTAGTGGTTACAAGTTGGGCTGCCAACCTCAAGGTTGACAGTTCAAAACTACCAGCAGTTACGTGGGAGAAAGATGAGGCATTCTGCTCCCGTAAAGATTTACAGCCTCAGAAACCCTGTGCAGGGTCACTGAGTCGGAATCGACTCCATGGTACTTACCAACAATAACAAAAATTTACAGCCTTGAAAACCTTATACTGGGTCACTATGAGTTGGAACCAACTCAGTGGCACACAACCACCAACAACCAGGATGATCAATGACTTGCATTTCCATGCTTTGCATTTATCTCTGTAATCCACTCCACTGATGATTATTAAGAATAATATAATGTAGTAGTTCTGTGCATCTGTATACTAAATCATTTCACTACACTTCCTTTGTTTGATTCCAGTCTGACATTTATAAACTGCGTGACTTTGGGGAAGGGCCCTTATATTTGTGCTTCATCAGTGGCCTGTTTCATAAAGAGTCTCTATCAGTTATACATATACCATAGGATTATTATAAAGATTAAATGAATTAATATCTGAGAACATTTAGAACAGGGTTTTTTACTTAGTAAATAATAAATGTGAACTCACATAAACCTATGAGGCAGGTACTATTATGATTGTCTCCATTTTCCAGATGCAGAAATAAATTTAGGGAAGTTAAGTAAAGGATCTAAGTTTCTTTTGCCAGGGAGTAGCAGCACCAGGTTGTAGCAGGTTTAAAGGACACCAGAGATCAAGTTCTTGCCTACCATCCTAGGTTGCTCCACTGACAGAGGAAGGAAATCAGTCTTTTCTCATCAGCTGGAAAATATATCAGTGAAACCGTCACAGCTTTTGAGCTGAGCTAATCACTTCTGGGTTTAAAACAGAACTATTGCCAAGTAAAGCTACTTAACCACATTTCCCAAGCTCATAAATTCCGGCTTTTGCCATCTACTTTCTAGTTCCCTCTACTTTTGCCTGCTTTTACCAGGCAAAGCAATGGGTGGTTTTGATTTCTCCCAAAATGTTATCTTTAAAAAGTCATTTGTAACATAGTTGTTGAATGGGATATTTTCAAGCAGAGGTTTCTAGCCCAAAGAGGATTATGTGGTTAGCTCGCCACAAGGTTCTTGGACAGTACAATCCTTTGGCTAGCTGCAGAGTCTCACTGTTACAAATGGATAACCATCTTACTAATAAACTAGAGGTGATATGGATGCATGTAAATCTTTAGAGAGCTTGTTAAAAGGTGTTGCTAAAATTCTTTTAATATATTGAGACACTAGGAATGGTTTAAAGTGAATCTAATTGCTCTTATGAATGAAGACCACTGTTCCAATTTGGAAGTTATGTTTCATAAGCAGATTGCATGAACTAAACCCTAATATTAATATTATTAAGTACACTTGGAAACATTTTTTGTTAACCACCTATGAAAATTTCCAAATTAAAAACACCTGCTTCCTGAGGGTTTCTAGTCGCTTCTCTTTCTCCTCTTCCTCTTGTACTTCTTGAAGGGCCATTTCTTTTTTCTCCAGCAAATGCTTTTCCAATAATTCTTGTCTGTATTTAACCCTTTAAGAAATGATGGGCAAGAGAATTGGACAAACATCATAATAATCTTGGAAAAGGTCGAGATAAGCAAACAAGGTTAGAAAGCATGTCACATGACATCCTCCTGGCATTTTGATTTTTACTTGTTTTGCGCTTGTTTTTTCATATCTAAATCCTAAAAGACACTTGTTTAAAATGCAATTTACAGTAATTCTAATAACAACCAGAGAACTGCACATCATGGGGCAGGAGATGGTAAAGTCCGGTGCATCTCTTTATTCATCGAAATGATTCTGTTAACACTTGAACTTTCTGTTGCCTGCCTCAGCTATAGCTAAACCTACCCTGAGGGATAACCCTCTCTTAAGTGGCTTATTACAGCACTCTAATGCTGAGGATTTTAAACATAATTTAAAGTGTTAAAAAGACTACATTGCTGATTAAGTGTAGTTTTAGAAAGAATAAAATACTGCATTTTATAAAAATGAAATACTATGTAGTAGTACATCCAAATTATCTCAATTGCTAGAATTTCAAGCAAGCTTTGTATCATCACTTGTTTTGTCAAGAATGTGTGTGTGTGTGTGTGTGTGTGAGAGAGATGTGTGTGTGTATGTTGAGAAACTTAAATTGCACCTTGACATCTGTAGATGGCAGCAAAAACATGATTTTTTTCCTTGGCATTGTTTCCATACCCCTGAAATCAGCAAGTATTCAAACAAGACACATTGAAATACCTGGTTTCATACTCCACCCATTATCTTTTTTGGGCAGCAACCCTTACCATTTGCTCACCCAAGCTAATTTTCTTTTGAGTTATAAAGATGAGATTCATCATTTCAAAAAAGTAGGCAACTTGTTCTTGGAAAAGTATTAGGCCATTGTGTCTGTCTTCAGTCATTGCTGGTTTAGAATTGACTTTAAGACACCGGTCACAGATGTCCTGCACCGTGGTATGGACACCTACCTCTTACATGGATAGACTTTCACTGCTGTGTATTCCATTGAGTCACCTCTAACTCATAGAGATCCTTATATGACAGAGCAGAATCGCCTCAAAGTATCCAAGACAGCAATCTTTACAGTAGCAGATTGCAGCCTCACCATGTCCCCATACATCAGTCTATGGGTTCAAATCACTGACCCTTTGATTAGTAACTATGTTCTTGGCTAGTGCACCAACAGGACTCCTCATATCCTCACTGTTGTTGTTGTTGTTGTTATGTGCCATGGAGTCGGTTCCGACTCATAGCGACCCTGTACAGGGATTCTGAGGCTGTAAAGCTTTACGGGAGCAGAAAGCCTCATCTTTCTCCCATGGAACAGCTGGTAGTTTCGAACTGCTGACCTTGCAGTTCGCAGCCTGATTTGTAACCACTACGGTACCAGAGCTCATACCCTGACTAGGCCTTTATATTCTTGATCCTAATTTCACTGAGTGCTTACTATGAACTAAGTCTTATGCTAAGCACTTTAAATGTTTTAGCTCATTTAGACTTCACAGTAATCCAATGCTGGTTACCAAAATTGACCTCATGTTACAAAGAAAAGGAGGCTAGGCAGGTGCTATAACTTGACCAGGGCTTCATTTCTTAATGGCAGAGCCAGAAATTAAACCCAGGCAGACTGGCCCCAAAGCTTATGCCCCCATGCAATCAAGTACTATTTTCTCCTCTCCCTTTTCTATATCATCTCTCCTACCAAGATCTGAATAGTACTGCATGCCAAATCCTGAGAGAGATAGTGTGGGTATATTGAGAAAAAGCTTCTACCCTCAGAAGTTTATAGTTTATTATGGTGACAGAAAGACATATCCAAAGAACTGACATACTATACAGTGCTTTAGAGAACTATTTTAAAAGTTACCTTCTGGCAATTGGTGGACTATGCAGGTGCACTACACAGACTATCTCAACAAATATATGAGCGACAAAATAAAATAGCCACAGATGACAATTCTGGCACCCTGGACTTCAGAAGAAAATTTCAAGAGGTGAATGGAGTACTTGTTGGGAGGAGTGGCCAAGCAGGGATGGTAAGAGAGACAGACTGACTGGTGAACACCTGGGCAGATGTGGTTCAACCATCTTGTGAGCAGCTTTGGTGGCAAAGGAAGAACGGGCAGAGCAGATTCACATGAGCGATGACAAAGGTAAGATTTCTTCATTTTTCCCAAGCTCCCCTGACAGAGGTGTGGCCAGCACCCATCCTCATCCACCCCGAGTGCACACCATGTTCTCCAGGAGTTTGGAGTCATGTGGTTGGAAGTCACACTAGTGTGAGGTGGGGGCCAGCTGCACCACTTTGGTTTGCCAATTTTGTGCCTGTTCAGGTGGGCTCAGCTCAAGATCTACAAACCCTGCAGAGCCACCAGACAAACATTTAACCAGTCATGCTTTCCCCAGCTTCAAGTGGTCCTAACAGACATTGATACCAGCTCCATTAAGGGCCCCCACAATCTATTTCCAGATTGAGTGCCCTGAACATAGATAACACTGAAGCCGATTAGAACCTCATCTAGGGCTAGAAATTCTGCTGTCACTTCCCTTCCACAATCACCTCATGAACTCTTTGAATTGCAGGAGAACCCCAGAGATTTTTTTTTCCACTCTGGGTCCAACAAATACAAATACAATTTCACAATGCACTGGAAACAACAAATAATTTTAGGTCACATGAAGAAAGAAGAGAGAATGACTCAAACAAATGATCAAAATGCAAAGCCAGAAGATGTTTCTGACTAAGAAAAGGTAATACAACTAACTTAAAAAGAATGATAATTAGGTACGTTCAAAGGATCGATAGAAAGATGGAGGAAAGCTAAGAAAACACAATAAAAACTTTAGAAGAATTCCGTAAAACACTGCAATAGCAAACAGACAAAATAAGTGCAAATTTTGAAACAAAACAAAACCTGTAATTAGAAATCCAGAAAAATAATACTAAGTTTTCAGAAATGGACAATACTTTGAAAGGTCAAAGAGTAGATGGAAAGCAATGGAAGCCTGGATTAGTGAGGTTGAAGAGAAGTTTCTCAACACTAGTATGCTAGAAGAACAATCAGAAAAAATCCAAAGAAAGTCTAAGAGTTATGTGGAACACCATGATGAGGAACAACTTTCAGGTGATCAGAATTTCTGAACAGGAAGAGAGAAGCATAGAGAAAATTGTCAAAGAGCTATTGGAAGAAAACTTCTTTAACATCATGAAAGATGAAAAGATAAGCATACAGGAAGCTGAATGAACCCCAAACAGGATAGATTCCACACCACCCCCTCAAAAAAACACCAAGACATATTATAATCAAATTTTCCTAAATCAAAAACCAGGAAAGAATTCTGAGAGCAGCTTGGGAAAAATGAAAAGTTACTTAGAAAGGAGAACCAATAAAACTAAGCTTAGATTTCTGAGCAGAATCCATGCAGGCAAGAAGGCAATGGAATGACATACAAAACTCGGAAAGAAAAAAAATGCCAATCAAGAATTACATACCCAGCAAAGCTGTCCCTCCAATACAACAGTGAATTTAGGACATTTCCTGATAAACAGAAATTAAATACACTTTTAATGACCAGACCAACATTACAAAAAATGCTAAAGGATGTTCTTTGTACTGAGAACCAACAACAGCAGGCTTCACGACAACACCACACAGAACTGAATCCAGACATAGAAGTCTTTAAAGTAAACAAACCTATAAGACTGAAAATAGGGAACCAGCAATATCAATGTATAATAAAGCCTCTGCAAAGCAAAAAGATGGAATAATGTAGATGTACAACTTTCAAATGACAAGGAAGTCAAGTAGATTTCAAGATAAAGCAGACTGTTTTAAGTAGGGAAAAAGTTAATTACAGTGTAACCTCAAAGAAGAATAATATACATGCATATCAAAATGTAAGAAAGATTAAGTAAACATTAACACAACAGAAATGAAATGACAAGAAAACCCACAAACAAAATGAACTCAGCATAGAAAAGAATCCATCTGTACCACAAAAAACTACACACAGAGAAAAATGACATTAATCAATTTATACCTATTGAAAATTACACTGAATTTAAATGGATTGAATGTACCAGTCAAGAGACATAAAGAGCAGAATGGATAAGAAAACAGAATCGTTCAATTTGCTGTCAAGAGACACATCAAAAAGACTGAGACAACCTAAACACCCATCAACAGAAGAATGGTTAAACAAACTTTGGTACAGACACACAATGACATACAACAGAGAGATGAAGACTAATTAATGATGAAACTGTGAAACACCTCACAACATGGATGAATCTGGAGGGCATCATGCTGAGTGAAATTAGTCAATCCCAAAAGGACACACATTGTATGAGACCAGTGTTGTAAAAGGTTAAAAAAAGAAAAAGTTTTCTTGATAGAAGAAACAATCTATGATGGTTATGGGAGTGAGGGAGAGAAAATTATTCATGGGCTAGAGGGTTGTTGTTAACTACCATTGAGTCGGTTCCAATCCATAGCGATCCTGTATAGGGTTTCTGAGGAGTGATTGGTGAACTTGAACCTCCAACCTTGCAGTTCAAACTGACTATACAGTCCAGCACATTAACCCACAGTGCCACACTAGTGGGTAGGCACATGTTAACATGGGTGACAGGGCAGGCAATATATAACAAGTGGGAGGTAAACAGAGAAAAGATGAAGATAGCGAGGAATGCAATAGATAGAATAGAGGTAAATGCTGTTAATACTGTTGGTACATGGAGGCGATTGCAACCATGTAGAGAAGCAAAGTATATGGCTTGTTGAAAGTAAAATTGATGATCTGTTCTGTAAACCTTCACTGAATTCACAATAAAAAGTTTTTCTCTAAATAAAAGTCAACTGAGAATTTGGAGACGGGTCAGGTGCCCATTTGCTGGGATGTGGGAGGAACTTGCAGGACTCAGCAGGAACTTGGTAAAAGAGGCAGATATTGATGCATTACGATTTGGAGAAGCAATGATGGGTTAAAGCATAGAAGGAGGTTGGCAGAGAGAGTTGAATT